TGTAAACATTGTGTCAACTTATTTCGCAAGTATGGAGAACAGCGATAGATGGACGGACGCTGAAGTGCAGGCACTTGTAGCAAATGTAGCACTGCCAGTTGTCGTTGGAGATTCTTAGTCCTCCCTTCCGTTCTTTCAATCGCTTTACGCATACGTCGACTTTCCATGTCCATTATTGTGAAACCCGCGAGAAACAACAAAAACACAGCTCCGATCACAGCGTCCTCCATCCTCCTGTTGTTAATGTTGTTCTTCTTTGTTTCTGTTGTTGAACGCCGCACACAAATGACGACGCTGTCGACCGGCTTATGTCACTTCTTAGTACACACTGTCGGTGCGAATGCAACCCTTTAAATGGTACTGGGAAATAGTTCGCGCAAAATCGTCCCAGTACTTTAGTACTGTACATTTAGTTCTGGAACTAAAGCGGTGCGAAAGGACCGATGGCCGTGTTTATGTAGTTGCTGTTGAGACTGCTGGTTATTTGTTTATGTGTATATATGTTTTCATTTATCAATGAGAGAATAATGCTCTCAACTCAGCTTAACTGTTTTAATCTTGGTAAATGTTATAAATGAACACTAAACATGAAAAATAAATGTTGTACACAAACAGTTTTTGTTAGTTTGTGTTTACTAATGCAGTAAATCATGTTAGCATTTAACACATTACAATAAGGTCTCATTTTTTTGTATTAGATAATGCATTTACCAGCATGAAACAACAAGGAATACATTTTTGTAGCATTTAATAATCTTTGTAAATGTTAGTTAATAAAACACAACTGTTCATATCAGCTCACAATGCAATGACTAACGTTAACAGATATAACTTTTCATTTTAATAATTCAAATTAATCAAATAAGATGAATAAATGCAATAGATCAGTGGTTCCAATATATAATAAAAAATTAACATTACTAATAATATATTAGCATACATGACATAAACTGCAAAATATCAAGATGTAAACTGAAATCAATTCTTATTTTCTGTAAACTATTGTTTTGAGTATGTTCAAATTATATATA